AATAAATGTTCTTCACGTAAATCAAGTTCAGGATCATAATTAAATGTAGATAATTGTTGATGACCTGTATTAATCACCATCATTGAATCTATTAAAAAAAAAAAGAATAAAAAGAATAAAAAGAAAAAAGAACAACTGAGGTGTATAGAGAGTACATCGATAATATAACGCACTCAATCTTGAAAATTTTGTAAGACTTCTTAGTTTGCCTCTCTACTCTCTATGTAACACATGAAACCTTGGTGAGGGTAAATTGCTAAAACAACATATAGCTCGGTTTTGTTATTGCTTTTTTTTTCTTCTCTCGTTTTTTTCTTCGCCACCTCACTTGGCATCGTAGTTGTTCGTGCAAGACATACCGGCACCTTTTTCTTTTGCTTAATAAATATTCTCTTCAAAGCTTAGTCAACAATTCATGTTCGAACGAGCTTTTCAAGTGCATCTGTACAACTTCGTTTTTGGGTCGTTTTTTATTATTATTTTTTTTTCTTTAATAATATACGAAAAAGAAAGTACAAAAGAGAATAGAATGTTATGTTATTTGACGTCCATGAATATTGATAAGGTTACATATTCAATGAAAGTTATATCTACTTGTCTCTAATATCAACTATTTAAATTGTTCGAACTCTTTGTTTTTCTTTTTTTTTGTTTTATTGATGATTTATTTAAAGACTTATAATAATAACTTAAATGATAGGTTCTCTTTTGTGGATTGTCAGGTAATATTACCATTCACAAAAGAAAATGTCCATTGATCTCTACTTGTCAATTTGATGAATGAATCAAACAGAAGAGCGGCATTAATATAAGACGATGGTGTACAGTTGCTATTAAGAAAACAAATCCGTTCTTTCTATAAATGTATTAAGACGTGCAGTCCAAATCGTTTTTCTCCCATTTTTTTTTCTTATGCTTTATTGATGATCGATATTTGCCTATACACACACACACACACACACACAATATATACACACATGCATGTATATCTATATACATATATAGTCAATGCCGCCGTACTTTTATATATTTAATAAGATTGACAACAATAGTAAAAAGAGAAAAAAAAAATTGTGGACAAGGAAATATTTACTCAAAGTAAATATTAAAGTTATTGCTACGTTGACAAAACAACATAAGCACCGATGACTGTCTTATATCTGCTTATAGTTAACGAAGAAGTTTGCTTATGTCGATATGTATTGACACGAAATAGAATTAATAATCATATGAATAAGAACATGCATAACAAGAAATTGAGGTGATTAAAAATATTTTTCTATTCTTCATAATACAATTAGATTATATAAATGACATAGTCTAATATTTCTCTCTCTATCAAAAATAGAAATTATTTACCTTGTTTCATAATCGGTTTAGATATATGTTTAAGTATATTTGTAAGATTTTGTTTACATCGTTCTATCCAAGATGAATTATCATTTAAATTTGATTGTATTGATCGATCAAATGTTTCATAATTTATAATATTTATTTTTGAATATTGATCAAGTGATGAAGGAGGAATTGTTATTGTTGATGAACATCGTCTACCATTAAATATTCCAATTTGATTATTTAAATTATTAGATAAATTTTCACATATTGGATAAGAAGAATTTCGTCCATGTGTTCTTATTAAAGAATTATTTTGAATTGACATTACTTTTTTTTTTATTTCTTTTGTCTTCTCTCTTTATTTGTGTATGAGAGTGATGGCAATCAAGGTAATGGTCTGAAACAATGCATATGCATAAAAGCCGAAAAAAAAAAGTATAAAAACAATAAAAAAAAACAAAAAAAGAGAAATTAAAAGGATCTGTATAAGTTTAGTAGTTTTCATATTCCAAATAACAGATGATTAATAACCGTCTATTCTTTATAGAAGTGTTCTCAATATTCATTTAACCTATTTACAAAAACTCATACATATACAACATACAAACGACCCTTACATAATGTACTTTAAAGCGCTCGCTTATTCTATCTTTTTTTTTTCTTTTTTTGTCTTCATTTTTTTAAAAGATCGTTGCGAAATGGAATGATTAACAAAGAATTAAAACTATCTCCGACATGCACATGACTCAATAAATGTATGCTTTTAAAACATACATCTATGCATGTTTGAATAAAAGCACACGTACATTAAGTACGAATAAACTGCAAATGGTGCTATACTTTAGTCATTTTGCAGATGTCACGCGCGCGCCTATCTACTATTAAGAAGAGAAAAAAAAAAGATAAGAAATGAAGCCGCCATCACGTTTACAAGAATGACTGCGTTTTTCTTTATTCAATGAGAAAAAGATATAGTGCCTTTTTGAAGTTTGGATCTGTTTAACATAAATGTACCCTCATCTATCGCTTTGTGTAATACAGTTAAATACGTGCCGAGTATTACTGATGCTTGTCAGCAGGAGGATTCCTAATAATCAATCACGCTAATTTGTATCTGTCCTTTCCTATCGAAATCAGCACAAATCTTTTTTTTTTGCATTTTTTCTCGTTTACTCGTACACGATTAATTCCTACATTGATGTTTCCTATTCTCAGCACATCATCAAATACGATCTCAGTGGTCTAACAAATAGAGGAAAAAAAAAAGAAGAAAAGATGAAAGGAAATATATGGAGACGTTAAGTATGTGTGCACCACCACGACATTATATTTCTTTTCATTTTTTTCCTCTCTCTCTCTCTCTCTCTCCATCTCTCTATCTGTCTTTTCTACTGCTTCTTCTATCAATATCATGATGACCTTCTCTTGTACCATTGCACGACACATGTTCGCACACAACACGATTTGAATCAATTCATTTCAATCTATTACCTACCTACCTATATGGATATATTTAAGCATAAGTCGATACAATCGTTTTATGAGTCAAATGAAAAAGAAAAGTCACTTGATATACTCAATAAATACTAAACTTAGTCAATGATCATCGTTTGCATGACATAAAGGTGACTAGGTACACAATTGAAAAGTGAACAGAACATGAGAACTTGTATTCACAATACAATTGCCATCTATGTATATACTTATGTTTGTCTATGTAATATAGATTCAATTGAAAGTTCTTTTATTCTCTTATCAGCTGAATGCCTACCTTTCTATTATATTTTTTCTATACCAACACATTACTTTTCTCTCTTATCAACTCGTAAATTAACATGTGTTTGCGTGTTGTTCGTTCCTTTGCACAGCGAGGAGTGAATCAGCTGTTTCATACGATACGCTAGGTTCTCATCTGGTCGACAGTAAAGAGAAAGGAAAAGAAAAAGAAAAAGAATAAAAAGGAAAAGGATAAAGAAAAAAAAGAAAAAGAAAATTCATAGACCGTAATTGCCAATATTTACTGTTCGCATAACAACAATAGTAACTTTTAATTTCTCCGTGTCAGTTGTTTCATTTTTCTTTTATTGCTTCTATCGGAAGACCGGTACAACCGTGTCTCTATAGATATAGATTCACTTGAAAATAACATGTGTATATGTGGAACATAGAGTATTACAAAACGACACAAACAACACATAAACATAGATAGATAGATAGATAGGTAGGTAAGTAGGTAGATATCAAGAAAAAAAAACGAGAAAAAAAATGACACACATAGTTCGAAGAATCAAGGTAATCGAAACACACAAACTGCTTATAATAATGGCAAAAAAAAGAAAGAAATACAATACAGACAAAAGAAAATGGCAGATTTCTGATTCTTCAAGTAATCACAACAACAAAATATAGATAATATAAATAAAGGAAGTCTTATCTCAATTAATATTTAAATATTTTTACTTTTTTTCTTAATCAGAAAAATTCAAGTAAAAAAAAAAAGAAACGAAAAAATAGAAATAGAAGCTAGAGGACATCGTGATGAATTGATTCATTCTCACATTTGAACATAGACAAAAGAAAAAAAAAAACAACAGTAAATAATAAATAGTTCTAATAGACACGGAAAAAACACACTCACACAAAGCATACGTCGTCATTTGACTTAAACTAAAGAGTATTGACGACGAACAGATCTTGTCTTAAACGTAAGAAACAAAAAGAAAAAAAAAACGAAAAAAACAAATACATGATTTGCCTATAATAATATAAATGAGACAACAACAATTAGCTACGCGAATAAATATTGCCTACATAGGAAAAAGAAAACCAAAAGTAAAATGAATCTTATGTCAGATCGAATACTTGAATAATAAATTTTGTTTTTTTTTTTATTTTTGTGTTTGATGAAGAATTTTATCAAGATGAATTAACATAAGCTCGTTTTGGTTCAGCTGTTTTATAAAAAACATTTTTAATTAATAAACACCGGGGACTTACATATAATGGACTACGTTCTTTTATTTGTTGAAACATTTTCATTTTAGGAAGAAAATGTCTTAATGTAAATACTTTTGTATCTTCATGTAAATCAATTTCAATTTCAAATGTTGTCTTTTGTTTTGAATTTATTTGTATTATTGGTAAATATTTTGTTATTGTTGTTGTCATATTAGGTGATAATAATGTTAATTTAATTTTTATTTGTGCACCCATTATACCAAATGGTTCTTCAGCTGACATAATTAAACATTGTCTTGCTATATTTCGTATATGATTACATGGAAGATATAAATTATCACATGATAAATGTTTTATTTTACTTTCACGTAATGTTGTTAATAAACGTTTTGATACAAGTAATAAATGTTCTTCACGTAAATCAAGTTCAGGATCATAATTAAATGT